GGATCACAAAAATATTCACCCTCTGGGGATCACAAATGTCACAGCGGTGCATCCCTGAAGCTGAAAACAATTTCAGAGTGTGAACAAAGTTATCAGCCTGAGCGTCAGAGTGTTTTCAGTCACTTTGAAGTTAATAACCGAGTGCTAAACGACAGCGATGCCGCACGCTGTTACGATGACAAATGGCACCGGCGAAGACTTCCACTTCTCTTTAACCAAGAATCACATTAACATGAATAAAATACAACTCACAGCAGAGTTTCTGATAAAGATGGCGAAAAAAAAAAAAAAAAAACTTTCTCCGATTCAGAAGCAAACTATAAAACATCCCCGAGCTATGGACCATTGCACTGTCTATGTAACCACTCCATCTTTTCTGACAGCAATAAAGTGAAGACTGTGAAAAGCACAACACAGTCCTCCCGTCAGAGAAGAAAAAAGCCACATCTGAGCCACAGGCTGTCTCCTCGACGGAGCAGAGGATAGATATTGAGTGAACCCATTCGGCATTTGTCGAGTATAAAGTTATTTGGTTGGAAAAAGCCCACTCAGCAGAGCACTAACAAAGTACGCTGCAAGTTGTATAAACTGCACGAACATTACCGAATTAAAATACAGTTCTTCAAAGTATACTGATGATATATGTGTTCTGGATGGAATCATAAGTTTTTTTGAAAAAAAAAATGGAGGGGATAAAAAACTAAATATTGATCAGAGAGCCTGACTTGTTGCCAGCTTCCAGGATCAAGCTTGGTGCCGCCTCGGTTTTAGCGTCGTCTCGCTTCATTTGATGTGAAATGTTTTCATTGTTTTATTTCTGCCCTTTACAGAAATGCGGTGGGAGAGAATAAATAGCAGACATATGACGGGGATTAAGAACAGAGAGCAGCATGATTGTGAGAGTCTCATTATGGTTAATACTTCCAGTACTTCTGGCTCATTAATTCAGGCAGGCCCACTCAGCAGATGAATCATTTGCAGTTGATAAACCACTTTTGAAAACTAGAAGAATTCGGATCATTCAGTCAGGATTACCGCTTTCATTAGTCTCGTTTGCTTCTCTTGCCGATTGCATTAGAGGTAATCATCATTCTGCAGTGTTGCCAAGCGAAAGGTCAGAGGTCGGCAGCACAGCGGTCCCTGTGGTCGGGATGCAGATGCTCGCCGACACCTGGACTCTCCAACCGCCGCGCTGCACTGTGACTTTTCCCGAAAGGTCGCCTGCACTGTGTTCACACTTACTGTGCGACATTCCCAGCTGGAGCTCGCCGAGGCTGCGATGCAGACTGATCCCTCTTCATCAAACTTTAAAAAGTTGCGAGATCACGTCAGCTTCCTGCGGCATGTAGTCGACCTAGTGGCTCAGCAGTGCAGCTACACAGACGGACTGCCAGGAGCTTCACATGTGCTTCATTTAGAGCACATGGAAACGCTGCTGCAGTGATGTGCAGCGACAAGCTGTTTACAAAGCCAGCGTAGTACACTCCAGCCTAGACCTTGTTTTATCGACATTTAAACAAGCCGAGCATCCTGTCTGACAACCGTTAGGTATCGTGGATGGCTGTTGGTGACCTTGTAAAGACATTACTTGCAATATTTCACTTATATATGTACGAAGAAAAAAAAGCCTGCAAGGCTGCAGTGGAGCACGTCAGATCTGCACGTCTGGTGGAATCCTTAAGAAAGTCACATCATTGCGTGCCTGTGAAAGCCATCTATCTCCGAAATGTCGACGTTTTTATGAGCTGAGAAAAATATTCCTGTCATCAGCTTAGCAAGTGGGCTTTTTTGAAGAAGAAGATCAGTCGGGTTTTTAATTAGAACCCGATTTATTTTTTAAACTATCAGACAACATCGGCCTTCTACAGATGAATCGATATCAGCGGACAGGAAAACTTTCTCTTATACAGAAAAAGATGCTCAGAGTAAATCAGAAACTGTTTTTTGTTCAGTTTAGAGTCCTGCAGCACATGTAGCAGAGTACAGCGGTGCGGAGTCGAACGGTGTCACCATGATAAGTTGCTAACTAGTCTGTGAAACTCATTGCTGGAAAGCTAATAAACAATAACCCCCTCATTTTCCCTTTAACATATGAGTATATACAAACAATGTTAGGTGTTATAGCGATATCAGAATTGCTTCCTCCCTAGCGTCGGTAAGGCTCAATTTGTTCCGATAAAAAGGTGAATTCTCTCAACTAATTAACGACCAGCTGAGCCTTAACTTTATCTGAGAAATCCAGCATCACTGGTATATATATGGTAGAAATCTTTCTAAAAGCCTCCTTCTAGGATACAACCCTGATATATATAACAGGGAGACAATTTAATGGACTCATTGATTCCTTTTAACTGCACAAGCGTCTGAGTTTTAATTTACAAGTGGATCTTGGCTCATGTGGGGACAATTTTCTATCCCTAAATCCCCACAGGGCTCTTTTTTGTTGAAATGTCCATCTTTTTTTTTTTCCACTGCATTGAAACTGGAGCCGTCAGGAGCAGCACTCAACAAGCCTGGTGACACTTCACAGTCTGGGGAAATGTCATCCACAGCGTGTCCCCTTCAACAACAAAATCGGCCTCACTGATGCACCGACTATCCCAACCTTGACTCCATCCCAAAAAGAAAAAAAAACAACAGATCACTGACCCACACTGAGGGAATAAATGTTTCCATCTACTGGTGAGAAATGTGAAGTTCAAGTTTTTTTTCTTTTCTAGCAGGCAACATCACAAGTCAAACAACCTCTCAGCACCTCTATGTATAGACTGCTTTTCTTTCTGTTAAGTGTAATCGCAGGTCAGCTGTCTGCCTCCTTCACGAGCAGGACCTCCACACACTATCAACACTATCAGGGCAAACTGTCATGTGTCATCGGTTTTCACAGACGCAACCTGTCCAGAAAGCTCCCATTCATTCTTCCATCAGCTCTGCTCTCTCTCTCTCTCTCTGTCTGCACAAACACAGAATGCATTGGAAAAGTAGTTTCCTTTACCTGGAGGACAGTTGCATTCAGGTGATGCTTGCCTGGCAGTCCGAATCTTGACAAAATTCTCATAGGTGCGCTGAAATGTCAAAAGAATGCCATTTTTCATTCATTTGGTTCTTTTACGCAAAAAATTTAAAAAGCAACTCATAGGCAGCAAGTGGGAAATAATAAGAATAATAAAAAGGCAATCTTACCTGAGAGAGCAGCTCATCCACTCTTTGCTGAACCAGTGAATTAAAATCATCCATGGAGTAGCCGGGGGCTTGGATGAAGGTGTGCTCGCCTTTGCCACTCTCCAAATCCACAACTCGGTGCTTGATATCAGCCGCGTTCAGGCTCAGAAGAATGCAGAACGCCACGGACGCCACAGAACATAAAGACGAGATTATGTTCAGCGCTGTCGTGCGGCAATATTGTCGCTTCTGAGACGCCACTTCTTTCTCCATTTTCCCCTCCACGCACTTAGATGCTCCTCTTGCCTCCGCGATCTCCATTTAACTACAAACTACACGCGCTGTTGGGAGCAAACCGCATCTGGCGCGGAGTCACGAATTTTAATGGCACACTGCTCTCTCCGTGTGTGTGCGTGTGTGTGAGTGAGTGAGTGTGTGTGTGCCTGCGACGCGGCGTGCAGTGACTATATGGTGACAGCGGCAGATAGATGCGCGTCTCCGCTTCCAAGCTCAGAGCGAGTCAACCTGTCTGGCGGCGCGTTGTGGGGGCTCCTGCAAAAAAAAAAAACTTGTTGCACAGTAGTCTGGCGCTGCAGAGGAAACTGCTAATATGCACAATAAAGTAGAAGGAGAGGCTGGGGAAATAGGAGGCAGTGCGCACGAAGTGGAGACAGCATTACCGCTCGGAGCTTTTCCATGGCGCAGGCATGCTTCCCTCCTCATTAAGGCAGCAACACGCCTCCAATCCGTCCTGACTGATTAACATAATTTATTGACCCGCTCCTTTTGTGCGCTCGCAGGCGAGTCCAAGTGCCATCAGTTGATATCAAGTGAGGAATTTCTGTGGGATTTCCAGGAACGCTGCGTAAAGACGCTTTTAAAGATTACATTTCTTTTTAAAAATATAATCTTCACTGCAAGATAGCAAACATGTTTACCATGAATCATTTATGGAATTGTTGTTGAAGATAATTTCTGGAAACAGCGCATAGCAGTGGTGAAGTGTTGTTTTTGGCACTGCGTAAAAGCGCACAAACGTCTTAAATGCTCTGTTTATATAAGGGTAGCATGGAGAGAGACACTGACACAGCTGTAGCACAAATATAAAAGGACACAGCTCGTGGAGGGATTGTGAGCAACAGTTGTCATGTCAGGAGTCAGAAGCCAGAAAACCCAAAGATGTTTTGACTTTTGGTAACTTTGGTTGCTGATCAGTTACAGATTCAAGACTATCGTGGTTCATATTACTGATATGAGCAAGAAAAAGGAGAAATGTCTCCTTTTGTTGCAGCTGTCTGTTCCTGAAATGCAGAAGTTTGAAAAAAAAAATTCAAAATTCTTGCAGCTTGCATGAACTTTAATCCACATTGGAGCAGTTTGTGTGAGCTGATAGTCTGTGTGAGGCATTCACTGGGCTTTGGCACCACCATCTGGCTTCCATCTGCACGAGAGCTGCTGCTTCACTGGATGTACTCAGTGAACTGCAGCAACATAAAACCTGTCAGGAAAAAGGGACACAACATGGTGACAAACAGCATATAAATAAAAAATGATGTCTTTCAGATAAAATATATTTTCCTGGATTTTGTTCTCTCGGTGCAACAGAAGTTCACCTGTTCCCTCTAATGAACGTCACATCCATTTCTCATCATGCTTCACCCGTTTCCAAAATGTATTCTGAGTGAAACCGAATAGAGAAGTTTTTTTTTTTTTTCATATGCAGTCACAAATTCTTAATGTGGAAGAGCTTCAAATATCCATAAAGCTCCCCAGACTCCTGACCTCTTCTTCTGAGGTTCTTCTTCTTTTTTTTTTCACTCCAAATCCCTCAGACTGAAGGATGCGTGAGTTATCAGTGTCGGCTTGACTTATCAATTAAACAGCAGCTCTTGTGTTTTCATGTTCTCCGACTAATCTAGCATGTTCTATTTCATTTATACATTTTGATTTTCTGATGAAGAAATCTGCATCAAGTGGAGGAAAGGTGTCCAAAAGGTGCAGAAATCCCTTCAGGTGAACTACTTTACTGCTTGTATTTTTGCAGGATTAGTGTCTAATTAGCAAAAGCTACAGCAGCAAACTCAGATTTCATTCATTGACAGTGACAGCAAGGGACTGATGCTTCATATCAAGAGATTTCAAAATGCATGTGGTAAATGCACACAGGTGAGTTTCATTATTGTACCTGATTAGGCTTCATCTCTGTCACTCTCCTGTTAGCTTTGCTGCACCTGTTAGAGCGGAACAAATTACACGTTCATCATTCTTATTAATAGATGAAGTCCTGTCTGTCCTCAAGTCAACCCACATTCACTCTGAGCAAAGGTGTGTGTGTAGATGTGATCCAGTTAGTGGGTAATGCGCTCTGACACACAGGGAACTACTACGTTAGCCTGTCCACCTCTGATGTAGTAAATCCATCAACTCCATTTCGTCGGCTGAGTTTTCTCTTTAATTAAATCATTATTGAACCTATTTACAAGGTCTTCAGAATCAGACTTTCACCAGCAAGTGGACATCTGTGCAGGCTCCTGGTGTTGCAATACTGACGGAGCACCTTCACCGTCCTTTTTTCTGTCAGTAGTCCCTCAGGTGGCTCAGGCTCACATGTGGAGAGCGACAGGGCTTAATAAAAGTATTAGACCACCACCCAGTGTCAGGTTTATGCCACAGCTGCCCGAAATTAACAGCATTAGTAATCACCAAAATGACTTTTCATGTTTCCAGAATGGTTAATACACCAGCATGTAGAAGCTCTTTAACCCAAATGATGTTTTAATGCTAAAATGTGATTATTATTGTTATCCAGGAATGATCAGATTTACTGTTTTACAAAAAACCCCAGAAAAACAGGACAGCACATTATTATTTCTTGATTAAGATGTTAAATTATAGGTCTTTCCTTGCATTCCTGAACAGAAAATTTAGAGTTGGTGGTTAGCTTGATGGGGCTGCAAGGTGGCACAGTTGGTAACACTGTTGCCTCGCAGCAAGAAGGTTGCCGG